TACCTTTTAAGGCCTTCGTCTCGGTTATCCCGTGCGTTGAAGAGCCTCCTTCGCGCTCGTAGTCCTACGTTTAATCGAGCTTTCTACGTATTCAGTACTCTCTCGAATACAGCCTCCGTGCCGCTTCCTGTCCAGCGATCGTGGGGATCACGATCACTACCGCTATCGGAATCCTTACTGTTCTACGGTTGGCCTAGTCGGTCAACCACTGATTAGTGTTGGAATAATAAGGTCATTCGTAATAGTTACTATAGTAACTGAAGCGTAAGGTTGGGGGTAGGTGGTTGTGTGTATTTATCTATATGTTGTCTATCAACTAAGGTTATAGGGTGCTGGTGGTTTTGGGGAAGTGGGCTACCCACATAGGGATGGCCTGTGCGTACTGAGGTCACGTGTTATGACAGATGACCCGTATGCCTGAGCCGGGCCCACTATTCTTCCTGACTGACCAATCAGGGCTATGCGGCCCGCCGAGCCGCATTAGCCTCAGGAACTCTGATTGATCGGTAATTCCTATAGACGTAGCCATCTCATTTTACCTTAGTGGCAGCCGACTATAAAATGGGTAAAAAAATAACAGTAAAGGAGAGAAGGAGATATGTTAAGAAGAATAGCTTTAATGATAATGTAAATCTTGATATTGTAACGACCTGCGGGCGCCATCGGAATGGACGGCGCGGGCCGACGAATCCCCGCAGAAGGAACGGTGCGAAAAGGACAGTGTGTTGAATTGCGCACTGGGCCAGGGGTGCAATGACCCGAAGCCCCTCTAGACCAATCAGGAATTGCTCAGTCTTGGCAACTCCGCTCAGCAGCTGAGCACGCAACAAATGACTGAGCAGCCAGTGCTCAGTGGGAAAATGCTCAGTGGGAGACTGAGCACCAGGGCACTGAGCACCAGGGCACTGAGCAGGAACAAGTTACCAGCGAGGTCGCAGTAGTATAGATACCATTATCGTGTCCACGATAGAGTGAGGGACTTTTGGTTCCTCACGCTAGCAATACATTGTTCAATTGGGATTCATCGTTCGGAACCTCTGATTCTACTCCTCTGCCACCGTTAAATACGTTAACGCTGCAGATTGACAGGGGGTAGACAGGGGGTAGACAGGGGTAGACAGGGGGGTAGACAGGGATCAGCCTCCGTCAGCACTGCGTGGAAACCACCAGAACTGTGCACGTGCCAGAGTGCATCATACAAAAAAGGGAGCCGAAAGGCCAGGAAATCAATAATCTATTGTATCGCCTCTTTTTTCAATAACCAACCTGCAGCGATGTGGCATTGAGTGCGCAAGACGAAGTAAAAACTCAGCTGGAACTGCATCCCAAGCAGCCCACGTAAGCCTCAATAGCTCAGGAAGTGTTACTTCCTGAATATCGCCGAGCACATTATCTCCATCCAGTCTTTCATCCAGGGCCAAACATTCTCAATGGGTGAGAGGTCCGGGGAATAAGCGGGGTGCTGTACAAGATTGACGCCAAATGATCTGAGGGTGTTCTTCGTAATCCTAGCTCTGTGGGCTGGTGCATTGTCCTGTTGGAATGCGGTGGCCTGGATACGTCGATAAAATTCAATAATCAGAGGCACCACCCATCGAATGTATTTTGCGGCGTCAACGCCACCAAATTCCTTAGGCCAAATCCATCCTCTGCCTTTGTATCGGCCGGCAAATTGGCCCCAAAACATCCACCCCTCAGGCTTCCGCTTTTTAAAAGCGAATTGGTCCGGATCCTCGTCGTCATGGATTAATGCGTATATTTTCCACATTGGATCGTTCAAGGCCCAGACCTCGTCCGAAAAAACAAACGTCTCCCAATCCTTTGGATTCGGCCGTTCGCGTAACCTCTCCTGGCACCAGATAACACGTGCCCTCTTTTGTTCGTCGGTAAGGTGGATCTTCCGTGGCCGTATTCGTAAATGGAAGCCAAGGTCGTGGATTGCTCGAAGTAAGGCCTTCTCGCCGTAGTTGTAGAGAGGTGCCGGCACGCGATATCGTATCTGGGCGGTTGGTATATACCGGCGCAACTTATCCACTCTAAGCCATTGATCGAGCTAGCATTTCTCCAGGGTCCAAATGCGGCCTATGCCACAGTTAGATCATTAAACGGAAGGAAGAAAGGTTTGTTCACCTTTGCGGGGCTTGTGTTTTTGAGGTATAACTAGCCCTACGCATACCAACTACACCTACCGCCGTATATATCCAGTACGCTTAGCGAGGTCGTCGTATTTCAACCCCGTAAATTTCCGTGCACCACGGACCTCAAGCCGTGAGCCCCCTTTCTTTCTGACAGGTGGAGGGGATGTCCTTCCACAGTCAATTCTGGGGAGAAAGAATTAACTATAAGCCGTGAGAGGATTAGAGATTTTGATGCATGTAGGGAAGGCGGCGCGATAGATATTACAGCCTGCACCCGAAAAGCGTTAAGACAAGTCGTAAGGCTAGACGCCTTAGGGCTGGGTTGATCAAGAGCCTGTAGGTTGAAGCTAGTCCTCTTAGGCAGAGTTGTTAAGAAAAGTGGAGTGGTGATGGTATCACCTGCCACACCTAGGTGACCCCTAAATAGCGCTACTCCGGCTTTCTACGGCACCGTTTGCAATAAGACTGCCACTATGTCAAGTATATAAACAGCGCTTTCAGCGCTGTAGATGCTTTTTTTTTTCAGACAGACAATTCGATACCTTTCCAGTAGCCACCCTACTGCTCAATTCCATGCCCTGTGGCCCTGCCTGAATCTCGCAAGTGCAACAAGAGTACATTGTGGACTGTTTACTGTAGGCTTTCTGGCTTCGCCAGAGAGCCACGAGAACAGGCAATACAATCAAGCAGTTGCAAACCCCATCAATCTCACCAAATCCAGTGTGCCGTGCATCTGACAAGTTCTTCCTGTAACGGTCTTAAGGTGGTGTGTTGTAACTATCTAGGCCACTTTACGAGCACGCTAAACTTGAAGAGAAAGGGAAAAGGAAACGTGTTGGAAGCGACACTCGCCCTTGGATCGAATAAGCGAGGTGGTTTAGACGTGTTGCCAAGATATAAAGTGGAGATAGCTTTACAAGGGGTTCGTTCAGGGGTTTATTTGCGACACCTCTTCTCCACGTTTACGGCTGAGAGTTACCGAAGCCCCCTACAGGGCTCAGCCTATTGTAATTAAATCGCTGTATAATGAGATCCCGGAACGAAGTACATGATATTATGTATTTATGTGATGAATGCTAAATAGTAGCCCAAATTCTGAAAAGCAGGCAAGTTAAGGCCCAAATTTGGGACCGCGGTCAGAAACTGCTAAGGCGCGACATTGCCCTAATGGCCCGAATCCTGGGCCACGGTCCCGAATTTTGGCCAAGAACATACTAGTACATGCTTTGGGATAGAACACAATATCCCAACTCGAATCTTGGGATAGTACATGATATCCCAGCTCAGAATTTGGGACGGTACATGATATACTAGCACTGATGGGATGTTTTAGAATATACCAGTACATGCTCTGGGATAGTACACAATATTTACAAATTGAGGGCATCCACACTTCCCACCTCAAAAATAAGCGAACGGTATTTGTCCTTTCTAAAGTTATCCTGCATTGTCTATCCCCCTTACGTGAATATTGTAAACCTTGTCGATAAGTCTGCTCTACCTTATAGTTTGGTGGGATGCGAGTATTTCAGGATGCTGACTGTTTTTGCAAGCAGTAAGGCAGCAAGAGATGGTAAGTATAATCGCGCTTTCCTTATTAAAGTTTAGGGGACGGTGTAAGGAAAGGCAGGTACGCCTGATCAAAGTCGTCACGATGGTGGCAGCGAGCAAGAACTGACAAAGTTATAAGACTTCAACCTGGCCTGAGATAAAGAAGTGGGTGAGGGCCACGGTCTATGTACAGTGTTGAATCGGTGGATGGCCGCGCAATGCGTGGCGCGGGTACGCGCAAGGTGGCGAGGGTGTGCGTCAGGTAGCGGTTTCCTTACACAGGGTTATATATATAATATTAACTGAGTTAAAGTTAGAATTTCGAATTTTCAGGGTTATATATGGGGGAAAAATTATCGGCTCGCTTTATCGGCTCACTTATCACAAACGTTATATGCAGCAATGGAAGAAGACAAAAAATGGACAGAGCACAGGAATTGGCTGAAATAGCAGCAGCGGCCTGGTGCAAATGATGAGAAAAATAGTCGGCAAAGGGGGCAACGGAGAAAGAAGTATGAAGGTATAGCAAAGGATCAGGAAGACGTGAGCAATTGCAAGCGGGAACTGGAGCCCTAAAGGCACGTCAAATTGGTTTCACCAGCAGTTTATAAATAGCATCAACAGCTCAATCTGTGGATGACTGAACTAGGGTTGCTGATCTAAATGAACGCGAAAGACTGGGAGAAACGCGAGATAGCATCGAGAGATTAAGACCGGGATGAATTCCAACCATTAGAGGTAGTGCTATAGGAGAGGGCACTAGAAGATGCGTACGAACGATATGATTTGCAGAGAGTAATCGAAGAGCGAAAAGTAATACTTCTCGAAAGGGAGTTACAGGAGAGCAAAGTCCAAGGTATACTGCAATGCCAGATAGATCAGATTTTTCCAGACAAGCCCGAAGAGGAGGCAGCCGTCGACGCCGCCATCACCGCCGCCAAGCGCTGGGCCACTACTACCGGCGGCGCTGTCACGACCGGCAACATGCCTCTCATCTACGTGTTTCCTATCGGCAGAGTGTCGGCGTATTACTGCGTCGACGGCGCGAATCTCTCAACAAAACTAACGAGCGAAGACATCGATATTGCGCTAAGAGGGATAGATGCGTGGGTCAGCGGTATCAGCCGGGGTATTTCGAGTTTGATGGAGCGAGGGGGAGGGAGGCGTTTGGCAAGACGTGGGGAGAGTTAGGGGCGGTGACGAATTTGGCTTGTGAAGGGGGGAGGCTATTTATGTGCGGTAAGGGGGGAGGGGGGGTGCAGAAGAAAGGGGGTCGACGAAAGCCCCCCCCCCCCCCCCTCCAAAAAAAGATGGTTCTACCCAGATTCGAACCGAGGTCTTCAGGATTTTTGAACACTTTGGAATGTTTCGAACTTCCTGATCTGCTAGACCACTATACCATGGAACCTTTCGCTTTGCTGAGGAATGTCTCTAGACCGGTACCTTATAAAGGCTGGCGGGAGGGGAAACGCACGGGTGTGCCTGAGGTCATGGTGGCTGAGCCGGTGGTGGGAGGAGTGGAAAGAAGTCTAGTCTTAGAGAGCCATGTGCGAAGGAAATTGTTAGATATTTGCCGAAGGAGGAAACAAGACGGACGGCATGGAATTGTAAGACTCCTTTTCTTCTGCTCGAGCTTTTATTAAGACGTAACATCGTACCAGGAAGCTGTCAACGCGTGAAAACCCTCCAAATTCCAAAGACGGCGGCCATCAGAGTGAGTGTTACAACAAAATAAAGCCATATCCAACTCGACACGATTTGAGGACCTTCCTGGGGCTGAAATGAGAAGATCGACATGCTGAAGAACGCCTGCGAGGTTTTATGAGCCTTAGCTAAGTGATATCTCCTGCGTCCATAAACATACAGCAACGAACCCTCCCGGGAGGAATACCATCGTCATGACGGCTATCGTGAGCATGTTCTTGCCGTCTGCTTGAGCCTGTTGGCTATCCCGTTGGTTGGTGGGCTGATAAATCTGGATCCGGAAGACATGTCAGCCGGTAGAACACCGTCAGGGTACGCGTTGACTGGAGTGGTACCGACAGTCTGAGGCTGGCTTGACGCAGATTATTAAAGCCACTCTAAGTGCTCTTTACATCCCAGTACCGTCTGGTCATTCATCTCGTACCTCTCCCTCACCCATCTCGTGACCCCGCTGTCACCCTCCCGTGTGGATTCGCCGGTCTGTTCCAGAATATCCAGTAGCCTCTTAACTGTGTCCACTTTGGCTCGAAACCTAGCACATCTGTCCAAAACCGCTGTCAAGTCGACGATGTCCTGCTCAACGGGGTCGTGTTTACCTTTTAGCAGACGCAGGTCCTTGCCGTAGGCGCTGCCGTGCAGACTGGTGTGGTTCTGGACATACCACAGATTTTCAGCGATTCGGCCACATTCAAGACTTATTTCGGCACACGTCAGCGATATCAGTGACGCTGGAAGCCAGAGGAAGTTGAAGGCTTGTTTGAAAGTGGACCGGAGCTCGGAAATAAAGTCGTTCAATTCCTCATTCTCCGGTTTCAGGCCAAAGCAGATGGCGTTGAGTGACCCAGTTGATGTATCCAGGACGCCCATAATGGCGAATTCCCATGGCCAGTTATATTGCCCCTTCATGAAGTACGCTAGGAAACGATAAAGTTAGTAAATGTCATATCTCTGACACATAAGAGCATAAGGCTGACCTTTAACTTGGGTATCTGAACTGTCGCCTAAATGCTCTAGCGTGACTGTAAAGACGCCGATGGGGATAAACTGAGAATATAGCTTCTCAAAGACGGGGGGGATGTGCCACAATGTCGCGAGCTGCTTGTATAGCACAGGCAGGATCGCCATCTCCCTCAGCCGAACTGCTTCTGTTGGTGATCTAGGACAGAACCTAGCATCTCATCTTTAGCTGAGGCGTAGTCAAAAGCCAAGCAGCAAACGCTGGGGCAATGCTCACAAGATTCTAGTCCTTTTCCGACCATCCTCGTCACGTCCCTGCGAGCAGGCGGTAAGTGGGATGAGCCAAACCGATTTCTTTTGCCTCTAGACGTACCGAAGCCCACGCGACAATGTCAGCAGCGTGAAGATCATGTGGTGGATATCGCTGGGGCCAGAAGCCGTCTCTACGACCTCAATGGCAGTGAACCGCCCACCGAGGCCTCCTGGTGACCCGCGGATTGAGGAGGCGTCCATGGCCTTGTACCCCGGATCGCGGGATTTTGGAAGGCAACTATACAGGCCCGCTGTGGTGGTGATGGAAGACAAACCCGACAGAGGAGTGAGGATTGCCGAGCTGCGACGCCAGAGAAGGGAGATGTTCCATCGCTTGGGCCTTCTGGGGTGCAAGGAAGCGCGAGGTCGGCTCTCCGGATTGGCTTAGAAGCAACGCCAAGAAGCACTAACCACTGCAGAAGCAGAAATCACCTCCTGGAAGGTGGTGGTGCTCGACATCGGGAGGACGACGAGAGCGACAAAGAATGACGAGGCGAAGATTGGGCAATGGTTAGCTTAAGGCACAGAGAGGTACAAGAAGCAATCAACAAGGACGACTAAGCCAAAAATGACTCATCCAACATCATCCTGCTTTCGGGTGGCCCACGAACCGAAAATCAACTGTTAGATTAGCCACGCCAAGGCGTAACCTTGACTGTGGCGCGGCTCCACACCAGGGTTGTGGGCGCCCTCAAAGCAAAGATTTCCAGAGCAATCTAGAGAGCTAGGCACTGGCAACACACGCAAGAGTACAAGCCAATTGAGCCTACCAACCGTGCAAGTGACTCAATCCAACATCAACCGTGCGCGTGCGTATCATAATCCTAAACAGGCCGGTAGAGACCATCCTCCGGGGCAGCACCCTGCGGGCGGTCCTTGGTGACCTCAAACGCTCCCTTGTAGTCAAGAATCGGGACAACTTCGTCTTGTCGGCAAAGTGATCGGTCTCGGGTGACCTTCCGTGACGTGTCAAATGCCCACGTAAGCTGAAGTGTCCATCAGGGACCAACGGTAGGCCGAGGATCAAAGGAGTGGAAAGCTGGCACCTCGAATTTTCCTGTCACACTTTCTGATTGAAGTAATTCAGACGGGGCAATCATCCTTCGAGTGAGCAATGAGATACTCAAAGCTTCAAATCAAATAAAGAGCGGACTGGCATCAAGGACATTTCTTCCTCCGCCCTTTTCCTCACTTCGCCTCACTACATAAGATCAAACGCCCAGGCTGCAATGCACGCCAAACGAATCATATTTTGCAACGCCACCGCTGACATGGCCGCACCCTATTCAGTATAGTTAGCATAAAACCGAGGAACGCACCGCAATCTCTGGATGGCAACTTTAGTCGAGGGTCCAAAATTGGGCCACACGGCTGTGCAAGCTAGGCTCACCCATAGCTCACCCTAGTTCAGGAGCGGCTCAGGATCACGCACGAACATGGAAATTGCTGAGGGCAACTTTAGGGTACAACAATAGGCTGTTTTCATTACTCTCATGCTTCCTCTACGTGAAGACGTGTATCTGGGAACTCTTGTCAGATATTTTGGGCTGATAATAATTAATAAATAGTCTAGTCCGTTTCCTAGTTTGCTCTTAACTCTCTTGTTTTGGTTCCTGATGCTCATTCCCACCCCTAGCCAAATGGAAGCACGGCCACCCCAATTCTCTCTTGTTCAACTAGCGTAGCGTTGCGTGTATTCTGTGTGAGGGCATGGTCCAGCCCAGCACGCTGAGCACCGCGTGCAATTTTTCAGCGCATTGGTGGTGCACACGCAATAATATGCCTTCCGAATAATTCGAAAAACAGCGGCTCGGCTCTCACTCACCTAAATACCCACAATTTACACATACGCAGAGTAGTATCTCTTATTGCAGGGTAGGCTCCACTCGAATAGCCGAAGCTTAACGTATGTGGTACCAGGTCTCCCATGAGCTCGGCATTGTTGGCCCATTCATCTTGGAACTATCGTGGCCCCAGCTGGGTCTCGGCCTTGATCTCACCTTGTTGTGTTTTAACCCGCTGGAACGAAATACGAAGTTCAGACCAAAACGACAATCTCCGTTCCCCAGGCTCCAGATTCATGAAACACCCCTTTGTACGCGCTCAATACGCGCGCTCAATACACCCATTCCACAGATATCCGCCCATCGCTGGTTATACGCATTCAACACGCATTCAGTCCAGTTTGAGACCATAGTTTCAAACCATTTACGCACTTTGCATACGGCCACGTAGTTGGCCCCCGTTTCCGCCTTGGCTTTGAGCCACCCCATCGACAAGAGCTATCAGGATGTCCCGAGACACCAATCATCTATTCAAAGGCGGCTCGTCCCCTCAAAGCTAAGTCTTTTCATTCCTCTCAATAGCACACAACCTGCGGTTTTTCTCTTTACATCACTTTCTGGCATATCGGAGACCGTACCATGCTAACCTCTTGGAGCAGGCGACGAATACCATAGTTATTACCAAGATTCCGCGGATACCACGACATGTCTCTCCCACAGCATCCGCCACCACTTCCGGGCTCAACGCAGCCTAGCAATAATTCCCACGAAAAATATCCTGTAATATCTAAACAGCTAACCGTGAAGGCTCTGGAGATGGTATGCAGCTCGCTGATGAGGGCCGGAAATGTCCCCCTAAGTAGTTTCAATGACTTCGTCCCACCAGCATTACAGGAGCTACACTCTGAGCTTGAGAGACGCTTCGACCGGCTCATTGTTGGCGCGCTCGCACTCAATGTCTACCAAGCAAAGAATTTCCCGGTTACTAAGATCGAATTCAAGCTTAACTGGTACGGAGTAACTATTTTGAGGTGTCTAAGGCGCTGTACTAAATCTGAGAAAGACGAGAGGTGGGCGACTTGCTCTAATAATTGTTAGCTTTGCCATAGACCCCACTGACCCAAGCCACGTCAGAGTCGAACTTATTACCACGCAGTGGACCAAAGGTCAACCAATCCGTTGCGAAGTCCACGTCAAGGACAACAATAACGTTATGCATACGGTGCCTGTCCTGTTGTGGCCACAGGGTATGAGTATCCTTTTAAATTTCAATCTCCCTATATTATAATGTCACGTTATCTAGGATGCGTAGCTGACTTCGGGTTGAGCAGAATCAAAACCTCCATTGAAGTACTTTAGATTCGATTGTGGAATGAAGATAGATTCAAAATACAGGGAAAACGGCTACGCTAATAACGGGAGATACCAAGAAGTTTTCACATCGCCCGCTCGGCTCAAGTTCTCCAGCACAAGGCTCTGGACAAAGCACAGACTCGAACTCGAAAGCTCCTTCTGCAGCGCTTCTTCTAGTTTCTGATGACTACGGTGACCCATTCCAATCCCGTACGTAATTACCACAGCCAATTCCACACTCACAGCGTCCCGCAACCAACAAGCCACAGACTACTGCTGGTTCAAAGAACCTCAGGAA